CAGAACAAGGTGTCTCAAGAGCCATGGGGTTCGTCTGGGCCTTGAAAGACTGGAGAGGTTTGCTGAAGCTCAGGTGGGGTTGGGAAAGAAAGGGTGTGGTCAGTGGGACCATCCAGGGCAGAGGTCATGGAAGTGCGAAGGGCATGGAGTGGTGTACCTCACAATGACCGTACAGCAGTGGCTGCTTTCTGAGCTGTCCCTACATTGTCTCAATTGATCCCATGAAGGCTGTGGTGACCCCGTTTCACAGATAGGAAAGCTGAGGCTCCACGTGGTATCCACACACGGGGAGACTGACTGGGCTTGGAGATGGCCAGGATTGAGCTCAGATCTGGGCTCTGTGCACTCTGGCCGAGAGACCACACGTGTAAGCTAACATCTGCGGGTCTGTGTCTGGTGGGCCCTGCCTCAGGGTTAGTGCGGCCTTGCACACCCTCCCTGATCCTTGGCAGCTCTGCCGTCAGACTCTACCATAACTCAGAGCTTGCTGGGGGCCATGGGGTCTTTACTCCAGAGGAGGGTCAGGCCTGTGTTGGCAGCTTACATGTGCAAGGAAGACAAGGCCCAGGGGGAGTCTCACTCCTCGTCAGCATCAGCAGGGGCCCGCATGGAGGCTCCATGAGCTTGTAAACTTGTCCCCAAAGGGCTGCCTTGGGCCTCGGCTGGGATCTGGTGGCAGGATGGGGGTTCTGCGTGAATAGCTGCAAAGTCCTCAGACTCGCTATTGTACCTTTGCTGGGGTGCAGGTGCCTGGTCAGCACCTCCCTCCACCTACCGCCCCAGAACCACGGGGAGATGAGCTCTGCTATTGAATACAGAGTCGGGTACATACATCCTGGACACCTGTTGGAAGGGTACAGTCAAATCCTAGTTTTGCTCTTAGTACAATACTAACCTCATAGCGACCCTCCAAGTGACGGAAGGGAGTCTGCCTCCAGCCGCCCCATCTGGTCCTTGGTGCCAGAGCCGTGCATACAATAATTCTCACCACACTTTCTCTCCCCACAGCCCAGGGCATTTTCAGGTCAGACATAGCAGGAAGAGAGCAGAAGCAGGGCCTCTGGGTGGCAGTCGCTCTGATCAGCCTTGCCACATTAGCCACCGCAAGGGTCCCATTCACAGTGTGGCCCACAGGTGCCTCTATATGGTGGCCCTGGCACTGTATGAGGACTTTACACACTAGCAGTGTACAGGACACAGTTCAGGTGCCTTTGAGTGGTGGTCCTGGCCCTCTCAGAAGAGACGTGACAATGCCTGAGACAGGAGGGCAGACAGGAGGAGGCTGAATCCAGGAATGCTAGTGTGGATGGTGGGATTAATAGCCGGGGTGTGGGGAGCTCAAGGACTCCCCCTCAGACTGTGGGAGGAGTTGAGAAGGGTGTGGGTCAGGTATTAGCTGGGGCTGCCAAGCAGCTGGTGGTTTACGGGGAGAAGATGGTCAAGAGGTGGCTTTGTGTGGTGATCACACAGCCACCTTGAGAAGAGCGTCTGGTGGTCGCTCAGTGACTGTCCCGAGAGCCCTGGAACCACAGTGTGGACAGGAGAGGAGGACCCAAAGGCTTCACACGCCCAGCACGGAAGCTGCCTGAGTACCTTGTCTCCACCTACCAGGGCAGAGCAGCACCCATTTCACTTCACAGTTGAATGGGACTTATGGTTAAGGTTAGAGCGGCAGCCCACCTTGGCGTGGGGACCTCCTGTGAGGTAGTCTAAATCCTTATGAGCCCTTCCTGGGACCAAGTAATGGGGGACTTCAGTGGCCGGAAATTCTACTTTCCCACTATTGCCACCATCAGAAGACCTCGCTGGTATTTTCCTTCACTCTATTTCATGTGTGTGTGTGTGATGTGTGTGGTATGTGTATGTCATGTGTATGTAGTGTGTATGTGTGGTGTGTATGTGGTGAGTGTGTGTGTGTGTAGTGTGTGTGTGGTGTGTGTGTGGTGTATGTGGTGTGTGTTGTTGTGTGTGTGTGTGGTATGTATGTATGTCTGTGGTGTGTCTGTGGTGTGTGTGTGGTATATATGTGGTGTGTGTGTGTGTGTGTGGTGTATATGTGTGTAGTCTATGCACATAGTTTTATTCGAGACCAGAGAAGGACATAAAATGTTTTGCTCTCCTGAGACAGGGTCTCTCCCTGCATGTGGAGTAAGGCTGGCAGCTAGCAAGTCCCAGCTATCCTTCTGTCTCTACTCCTCTCCTGAGTGCTGGAGTTACAGGCGCCTTCACAACTATGCTTAGCTTGTTATGTGGGTGCTGATCTCAAGTCTTCTTGCTTTTACCTGAGGGATATCTCCCCAGCCTCAGCCCCTTGATGAAGTCTAATGTCTGTTCAATAAAAATCATCCTTGGACCACAGTTGCTGTTAAGACAGAGAATGTTTCTGTCAACCATAAGCACTTCCTTCAGACTTCTATATAGTCTCTTCCCTCACCCCAAACTCTGACCACACAAACCTCAGCCTCTCTCCTGTCACTGAGATACAGTCACGTAGTAAGTGAGTTCTTCCACTTTCCCTCAGAGCAGCCATCGCTGCACGGGCACACCCACTGCCCTTGCCCCTTCTCCAGCAGAGGCTACTTGAGTGGTTTTGGGAGGGCCATGAACCATCAAGCTGCTTTATACCATGTGCGGACTATAGCTGTGTTCTCGTTTCTCTTGGGGGAACACCCTGACGTGTAACTGTACCGTTGTACAGAAGCTGTCCCCTCAGGCCGCTGCCAACCTGTTTTCACATGGGACTGCTTGTGTCCCAGCATCGAATGAGGGATACACCTGTGCGCGCGTGTGCATGCGCACGTGTGTGCGTGTGCGTGCGCGTGGGTTGCACGTAGCTGGAGGCCGGAGGATGCGTGTTCTGCCTGTCACTCTCTGCCTTATTCCGTCTCCATCCCACACAGCACTGGGGTTACAGACACTAGTGCCGCCATGCCTGGCTCTCTATGTGCTCACTAGGGATTTGAACCTGGGTTCTCGTGCTTGCATAGTGAGCGCTCTTAGCTACTGAGCTGTTTCTCCAGCTCCAGTAGCAGGAAACTAAGATTCAAGCAAGATGTGTCTGAGACCAGCTGGGTGCCCCTTCCAGCCAGGGTGCCTAAAGCTACTGCTTCCTCTACTCTTTACCTGGGCTGACCTCCCACCCTCCACACTCTCCAGTTCCCTTCCTAGGATGACCTCCGCCCTTCACACTACCCAGAGTTCCCTTCCTGAGATGACCTTCTGCCTTCCACACTACCCAGAGTTCCCTTCCTGGAATGACCTCACACCCTCTGCACTACCCAGAGTTCCCTTCCTGAGATGACCGCTCACCCTTCACACTACCCAGAGGCCACTTAGGGAGCCCACCCAACTCTGGGACTCCTGAGCTATTCCAGCCCTTGTGGCCTGATGGCTGCCAGAACCCTTGCACCTCTGACCAGTTCTAGAACGTCCTGTTTTCCTGGAGAGAGCAGAGCCAGCCTTTCTCATGCTGCTCCACCCCTCGGGCCTGGCACACTAGAATGTGCTCTAGAAAAGCGCATGGTCACAGCTGGTGCTAGGCCATGGACCTCGGCGTCTGGGGCCCTCAAGAGAAGCAAGCCGAGATGTGAAGTGACACAAACCAAAGTGTCCTGACAGGCTTGGCCTCCAGGGCCTGTAGGGCTGCCCATTCCTCTCCCCTCCCTGTTTCCCTCTTCTTCCTCCCCTGCTGAGAGAGTGGAGGGGTCCGTGCTAACTGCGCCTTGCTGCATTATGAAGTTGCTATGCTACAAGGACTAAAATCTGAGACCCCAGAAACCCTGTCATAGGTGGATGCATTCCTCCTCCTTCGTCTGTTGTCATGGCTCTTTGCTTAAGATGACCAGATGGGCAGATTTCATTTCCTGTAAGACTGGTGGGGCACGGGGAGCTGGAGAAGAAAGGGTGCTGTGTAAAGATGCCGCCCGGCTGCTGACCCTGAGGCACAGGTATCCCAGAGGGGGAGTATCGCTCAGCCAGTGAGCGCCAGAGAAGCCGCCAGGTGCCTTTTCCTGCAGTACTGACTGTTCCTATTTGTCTCCTGGCTGCTAGCCACACATCTGTAAAGCGCTTGCTCTGCCCCAAGCCTGTCCTGCCCTCTGTCCCACTGAGTTGTTTACCAGGAAGGAAGAAAGTACCACGCTTTTATCTGGTGCCCCCAGTGCTACTGGCATGGGCGATGCTAAGCAGGAGTGAGGCCTGAGGCACACAGGGAAGGCCTTGAGGGAGGAACGTTGCGTCCTCGACACTGAGGCTGACACTGGCTCCGTGCTCAACAACTCCGCCACAGCCCCACCTCACCAGCTGAGCCCCTGAGGGGCAAGTTTCCTGGTGGTTCTCTGGGCAGTGACCACTGTGTGTCATTTTGTATGGTGATTTCCACCCAGGTCCATGTCCTGGGAAGGACTGTTGACTTCAGGACAAGGCCACGTGTGTGTTATGTTTGTTCAGTGCCAAGGACAGAACTTGGTATTTCGTAGGTGATGGGTGTCACGTATAAGGTGAGGAGTGACAGCCAGTTGTGCTGGACAGGGTGACTGGCCATCGCAGCTGATGGGGGAGGAGGTAACTGCTGGAGGGGAGGAGAGGATGGAAATGGTGAATGGCCAAGAACCCAGTATCCCAGTGGGTTCTCGACCTTCCTAATGCTGAGACCCCTGAGTATAGTTCCTCATGCTGTGCTGACCCCCAACCATGAAATTATTTTTGTTGCTACTTCATAACTGTAGTTTTGCTACTGTCATGAATCATACTGTAAATATCTGATATGTGACCCCAAAGGGGTCATGGCCCACAGGCTGAGAACCACTGCAGCAGAAGGTGGTGACCGGGAAAACGCAGTGGATGGTGGCGGGAAGGATGGTGGTTACAGCTGGCTGTGCTGAAGGAGGCGGACATGCTGGCCAGTGGGCGATCGCTCTTCCTCGGCCCTCCGCAACGAGACCCTGGCAAGGCTCTTGGTCCTACTAAGTTCTCTGAGGCTGTGGCCTATTCCTTTGCAGACTCCATCGGGGGCTCCTTCCCGGTCACCTCTCACCGATGCCATCACAAGCAGAAGCACTGTCCACCTGTGCTGTCAGCTGGGGGGCTCCCGGCCACGCCGCTGCTCTTCCACCCCCACACTAAGGGCTCCCAGATCCTCATGGACCTCAGCCACAAGGCCGTCAAGAGACAAGCCAGCTTCTGCAATGCCATCACCTTCAGTAACCGCCCAGTGCTTATCTACGAGCAAGTCAGGCTGAAGGTGGGCACCCCTGACCCCTGCCTTTGACCTCTTTGGCCTGCTTGCTGTTCCACTACCAGCAGCCTGCCCCCTCTCCTTTTTATTCTTCTCTCATCCTCACTTCTTTCCTACCCTTCCTGGGTGAGAAGACTCCATGGGAGTAGCTTTCATGAAGCTGTAGGAAGGCCCCCTGGGGTGGGGGTCGGGTGGGAATAAGCTACATAGTGTGTTTTCTGGCTGTTGGACACTCCTAAGAGTTGGCTGAGGGTGGTCTATAGTGAGCCCACCCCTCCCCCCATGGTCATCTGACCACGGGGGAGAGGCTAGGCTGAGGGTCCCCACTCCCTGTGGCCAGATCACCAAGAAGCAATGTTGCTGGAGCGGGGCCCTGCGACTTGGCTTCACCAGCAAGGACCCTTCCCGCATCCACCCCGACTCGCTGCCCAAGTACGCCTGTCCTGACCTGGTGTCTCAGAGTGGCTTCTGGGCCAAAGCTTTGCCCGAAGAGTTTGCCAACGAGGGCAACATCATTGCCTTCTGGGTAGACAAGAAGGGCCGTGTCTTCTACCGCATCAACGACTCAGCCGCCATGCTTTTCTTCAATGGGGTCCGAACTGCTGACCCGCTCTGGGCCCTGGTGGATGTCTACGGCCTCACGCGGGGTGTCCAGCTGCTTGGTGAGTGACACCCCTCTGCTTCATTAGTTGCAGGACATACCCTTCAGAGTTCAGGTGCTGGAACTGACCTTCGTTCCCGTGAGTCACGGGGGCTGCACGGAGCCTAAGTGGCCCAGAACAACTCCAGGGCTTTCTGCGAACTGTGTGTGGTGTCCCCCTCCTGGCCACAGCTTTGGCAAGTGAAGCTTAGTGAGATTATGACCCATGAACTCCGCCCTCAGAGTGCTTTCTGAGTTATACACAACTTTCACCACCAGAAATGGCAGCCCTGTCCCTGCCCTGGTGAGGTTAATGTTGCTTTCAGTAACCATTGTCAGTGGAGGCCTAGGTACGAAGCACAGCCACCCTGGGACTTTCTTTGAGGAGATTCACATTCAGGGATGTTAAGTCCTTCACGGATGGGTGGTGCAACCAGTTCTTCACACTGGGTCTGCCCAGCCCCAAACCATGTCCTGGCCCTGGCCTACAGCTGTCCTAACACCTGGGCTCCATCCTTACTAGGGCCTTTCTGCAAAGATGCTAAGTGGATGGGAGAGGGGAGCAGGAGGCACTAGCGGGGGGCTCAGACCCCTCAGCTTATCTTAGGCCTTGCATGGGGAGGGGAAGGCCAAACAGCCCATAGGAGCTACTAGGGGAACATCAGAAGATGAGCTGGGTCACCAAAGGATAGGCTTCCTGGTCATGGCATCTGTCAAGACTGCCAGAGGCCTCAGACTGCATAGGGTCATCCAAGGAGCTGGTGATGGAGGGGAATATAGCCCTGCCCGTCTTCCTAGCTTGATCGATATATGCATACATGTATCTTCAAGTGTGTGCTTGCAGACGTGTGAACTCTACATCCAAACAGAGCCTGATCAAACAGCTTCCTCATCTGGAAGACAGGTCCTGGGAAGAGTTAAAGTGGCTGATCACCCCACTGTCCTGGGTAGCGGAGACACATCTAGCCAACACTTGCCACTTCTGTCCCCATCTCTACTCCCTTTCTCTTGCAGAGAGGAATGCCACAGAGGGGGTTTAAAACCCGTTTCTGTTTTCCTTTCTGCCTTCTAAGCCTAGAAATTGTGGATGTTTTCAGAGCACTTTGACTTGAGTTTAAAAAAACAAACAAACAAGCTGGGAAAGTCGAGAGGAGCGCTATGTGAATAACCGCCGGGAGCCCGGGTTCAGCTCCAAACATCAGGAGGCTGTTTTTGTTAACTAGCAGTTTGGGAACTTTCTGTTTTTCAAGTCAATAAAAGTGTTCCCGCATTCATGCTGACACGTTGAGAGCCCCAACAGGCTATTCCTGGTGGCAGCTACCGAAGAAGGGCATCCGGGCAGGCTGGCTGGCCGGCCTCCTCCGCTTCCTCTATGTACTGGCTGCACCTGAGGGCTTCCACCTGCCGGAAATTATGTGCCTTAGCTAGCAAGACAGATCTGGGCCGAATCCCGGTCCAGCGCAAGGGTGCCTGCACCAGGTAGTTGACCCATGTGTAACGGGGGGTGGGCAATAATGACTGTGTGCAGACTTTGGAAGTCTCAAAGGATGTCCATGTGAGGATTGGTGGATGCATGGTAGTGGCTAGTGGCCGCCAGTTATCCCTGCCTATCATGCGGAGGACAATTGCTTAACCCACGGTGCACACGAGCACCTTCCTGCTGCTCTGGTGTCCCCTGGGCCTCACACTGTAAGGCAGTAGAATTCTGGAGCTTAAAGCTGAGCCCCAGGCCACTCATCTAGTCCAGCCTCAACCATCGACTCTGAAGTGTCTACCCAGGACCCTGCCGCCTGGTGGAGGGCAGAGAGTGAGTGACTTACTGCTCCTGAGAAAGTCACCATCTTGTATGGGGAGTGCGAGCAACACTCTGTCCTCCCTAAGCAATGCTAAGAACACACCTCCGCCTGCCCCCCAGGACTGAGAGCTGGACCCAGGGCCTCCAGCATGTAAGGCGAGTGCTCTACCACTGAATGGGAGCTTCGAACTTTTCATTTTGAGACAGGGTCTCACTGGGTCTCCCAGGCTGGCTGTGAGCTTGGCATTTTCCTGCCTCGGCCTCCCAAGTAGCTGAGATTACAAGCCTGCGCCACCAGGTCTGGCCAAGAGTGACTTCCTGGACAGTTCCCACTCTTGCCTAAAGGCCCAGTTTGGAGGCTGCCTCCTCCCCGAGAGACCTGGGTAGAATTTCTCTATCCTGTTCTCACTACAGCTCTGTGGTCTCTGGGAGCCTCAGTCCATCCTTGTGTCTGCTTTCCATAGGACAGGAGTTTCTTGGTGGGAGGAACCCAGGTCCTACCCTGCCAGCGGCCTTTAGAGAGTAGTTCTCTACCCTTTGGGGGTAACGAAAGACCCTTTCACGGGGTCACTTAAGATGGTCAGCACATGTAGATGTTTTCACTACAATTCATAACAGCAAATTTACAGTTATACAGTGGCAGTGAAAATAATCTTATAGTCGGGGGTCCCCACAACACAGCAACTGTGTTAAAGGAACACTGAAAACCACTGCTCTAGAGGAGACTATCTTATCTAACCCTGCTGGTGTCGCTGGGTTTAGGTTGTAGCCAGAGAGGGGAGAGTGGAGGCTGGCTGCAAGGGACCGCTGGGAAATGTTAGTTGAAGAAAAGAACAGGTGGGTGGGGCTGAAGGAGACCAGCCCTATGTTCAGACAGCCCCAGGCTCTCTGGGCAGTTAGGGAGGCAAAGGAGACACCAGGACTCAATCAGCTTACAACCTGGATGTAAATTGCTGACCTCTGTGGTCATAGAATCCCATTTCATCTGCTGGGAAGCGTCCATCGTTAGCACACTTAACCTAGAAGGGTGTTTTCCATCCCCATTTGGCAGGGAGAAGACTGAGGTCTGTGGAAAGCCTGACCTGCCCATGTAGGGATGTGGCTGAGCTGGGTCTGAACACAGAGTTCCACGATAAAAGCAGAGTCTTTCCCACGGCCCTCCAGCGAGTTTCCAGCAGGTTTCCTCATAGAAGGAGGCAGGAAGGCAAAGGAGGCTCAGGTCTGCAGTGGTAGAATCTCAAGAGGTTTCTTGAAAGAGGCTCAAGCTAGGCCTTACCCATTCTAGGAGACTGGGCAGGTGGGGCAAGGGGGTGTGCCTAGTGTCATGGGGCCTCCGACCTTCAGGGTACTGAGGGTAGGTAGGGTGGAGGCTGGAGGAGAATCAGCAGGGCCTCGTGCTGGCACAGGAGCCCAGGCTGTCCAGCCAGCCTGACCCCCACCCCTTCTGTGACTATACATGGGTTTGTCCAGAGTAGTTCAGTTGCCCTTGGAGCTGCTGCAGGCTTCTCTGCCTTCTCTGTGAGGCTGAGGCCTCGGCGTAAATCACTGCAGTCCCTGGTGTTTTCAAACAGGGATTATGGCCCCTGAAGTCAATCAGCAGATTAAAATAGCTCTCCATTTTGCGTCTCCTAAATTGATTTGTGTGTGTGCAGAAAACAAGAGAGATGGGGGCTGGGGGTAGAGATGGGGAGAAAGGTAGGGAAGAGGATGGATTGAGAGACAGAGAGGACGGGGCAAAGGCATGGATCCGCGTGTCAGGTTCCAGGCCTGCGCCACCACGCCCAGCGTATCTGAATCTTCGGTTGTCCCCTCCTAGCAGCTCGCTCGCTCTTCTACCAAAGTTGTCCCCTTTCTTGGGGTCAGTCTGTCTCTCTTGGAGTGATTATTTGACCATTAGAAACTCCTCCAAGTTTCCCTGGCCCCTCCAGCTTGGTGTGTGGAGCCAAAGCCCCACACCTGTCCTGTCTGGTGTTCAGAGCACAGGCGTACTCAGGTTCTTGGTTCACCGTGTGTAGTTGGTAGGCCTGCCCATAGGTCGGTGGGCTGTGTCCCTGAAGAAGTAGACAGTTTAGAGGCTGGGGACTTAACTCTCCTTCACTGTAGTCCAGATACAGTCAGCAGGCTGACTCTGGGCCTTCCAGGCCGGGTCCCCATGTGCCAGAGCTCAGTAGCTCACCCTCTTTCCTGCGGGTGCCCTGGCCCAGACTTGGGATGGTATCTCCAAGAATAACAGCTTCGTACCTCCAGGAAGAAAGGCCTGCCAGCAACCAAATAAACACAACTTTTATGGGGTGATTAATACTAGAACAGATAAACTTCTATCCCAGTTTCTCGTGGTCTCCTTGCTTCTCAACTTGGTGTGGAACACAGGCCTCTAACTTCAGCATTTAGGAGGTTGAGCAAGAGTATTGTGAGTTCAAGGCTAGCCTGGACTACATGAGACTGTGTCCCAACAAGAAAAAGTTGGAAAGAGCAGCCATGATCTTGCAAAAGGCTGGTGAGCCCAGACTCTACTCACAAGGTGTTCTGGACCTCATGCAGTGCCTGCATGGCCTGGGCTCTGTGAAGAGAAAGGAGAGTAATGGGAGAATTGAAAACTCAGCTCCTCAACCTTGGTGAGTTTTGTGCCAAGGTACATTCCATAACACAGCTATGAAGTGGGACATGCCATAACACAGCTATGAAGTGGGAC